GTTATCTTGCTCTACAGATTTAGTCTTTTCTCTTCCAGTAACTTCCAACTCTTATAGTGGTTGCTTGCAGCCTTGTTGGAAGTGAAGATGTTAAAAGAAAAAAGAAAAGAATATATATATATATATATATATTTATTTATATTTATATATATATATATATATATATATTTATTTATATTTATATATATATACATACATACATGGTCTGCAAGTTGTTAACATTTTGTTAACAACTTGCAGACCATGAATACATAAAATAAGTTTTCTATATAATTGAACTTATCAACTTTATCAAAAAATTTTAACTAGGGTTAAAAAAGATTTTTTCTAGAAGAAGTTTTAACAAGAGACAGAAGTTTTTGATTTGTACTACTAGTATTTACACTGTTCCTGCAATAAAACAAACTTTATTTTCACTTTTTTTTTTGTCTTATCTTGAAGTCTGTTATTCACTCAGAATAAAAGAATTTGTTTAAGAGCTGCCTAGTTATCAAAAAAAGATTAACAAAATACTTTTAAAAAAGAACAGCCTCCTTTACAGTATTGGCCCCTAGAGTCAAAATAAATTCAAACAAATATTAAATATATGATCATAGAATATATAAATCATCGAAATGAAGTAATCATCTTTGAATAGCATAAGTTAATAAAGAATAAATTTTTTTCAAAAGCTCAAAAGTTTCTAAACAACTTACCCACACAGCTAACGTTATTATTCCCCAAAACCCATCCATTTAAACAGGAGCACGAATAACCTCCCATTGTATTATTACATATGCTGTTAGTCCAAAAACATGGATTTGAGGTTATGCATTCATTGTTATCTTTGAAAAAAATGTAAATAAATTTTTTTTATTAAATAACAAATCATTTTTTATGTTTCCTACAAAAAATAATAAAAATTTAATATTTTGTACAAATAATTCCACATCAACCACAACTTTAGCCTAAAATTTAAAAAACAATAGTTAATCGCTATATATTATTGCAGAACTTAATCCTTTTAGTAGAAGTGTTAGTGTCCCTTCTAGAATGTTTGACACGGAACCCATTGCAACTGAGGTAGTGAAAAGAAATTGTCGCAGTACATTTTGTTGTAAACAAACGGTAGCAAAAATCTATGAAAATATCTAATGTACATAAACTTCAAATTAAGTAATGTTAAAGCATTCTGAAAACTTCATCAGGTTTTGACTTTCACTTGAACATTGAATTGCTACAAAATCTCCTTATTTTTAACCTATAGTATTTATTTCCAATAACTTTCAGGAATGACCCTCGCTGTAAATTTATAATTATTGAACATTATAATTTTAAAATTTTTTCTTTTTTTTTTTTAAATTTTAATCGCAAAAATATTTGACTGAGAGAATTTAAGAAGACTTGAATTCTTTTTTTAAAATAGATTTCTTTAATTAAAAAAATTCCTAAAAACAACTTGTGTATTTATAAAAAATGTTTAACCTTGATATCGCTTTAAATAAAGTTTGAATATAAAAAAATGATATCGCGTTTTACATAATCTATTTACAGGGGCGCAACCAGCAATTTTTGGTCTTTAAGATAACTTTCAGACATGGATCAAACTCCAAACATTTATATGTTTATACTTAAGTCAAATGAGGATGCTTTGCAAAAAATTGCAATAATTGGAGCTTGGGAAAAAAAAAGCCCCAAGTTGATAAAATATTTTTTGTATTATTTTCAACTAGACTTATATTCATCAATAAATTTTAAATTTCATAGTAAAACATTTTAGTGTTCAAAAATCATGACCATATAAAGTTTAACCCCCTCAATTTGAGGTGGTTGCAAATTTTATATTGTCATAATTTTTAAACATACAAACAACTGTAGGTGTACACGTCTTTAGCATCTTTTGAGTTTGCAGGCATTATATGGAATAATCGCATATAATATATCTATAAAATGAAAAAACTTTACAATTTTATTTTAAATTTTAGAAATCTTTTTTGCTATATTATTATTTTTTTGCTATAAATATATAAGCAGGATTAGAAAAATTTCAAAATTTATTACACAGAGAAGGTCTTAACCCCCCCAAAACAAAACTGATGACAGTGCACTTTAACACTGATTGTCTAAATCTAGAGGATGATCTAAATCTATGCTTATATCTGATTATTGTGCCTAATAGGCAAAGTAAGCAGATTCTTAATAAATATGGGCATATATGTATTATATATATATATATATATATATATATATATATATATATATATATATATATATATATATATATATATATATATATATATATATATATATATATATATATATGTATATATTGCACATGTAAAATTTATTTATACATGTGAATATATACTTACGCAAACGTATGCATTCATGAATACATTTGTGTAAATATAAATACAGGCATATATGCTAATAAAAATCATAATATACATAAACCCACATAATCAGATTTAAACTTTTAAAAAATGATTTCAACAAATATATATATAGCATAGTGACACATCATCACAGCAACAACTTAAAAAAAAAAGCTATCATCTTAGTAAAAAATTAGTGAATAAAAGAAATAAAGGAATTTCTTATTTCTTAAGCTAAAAGCTCTAATTTCTTAAGCTAAAAGCTCTAATTTATTTTTAAATTACTCACCCACACAACTAGCTTCATCATCGCCTAAAAGCCATCCATTTTTACATAAGCACACATAAGTCCCTATTGTATTTCTACACATACTGTTGTTCCAATAACATGGATTAGAGGTTACACATTCATTGTTATCTTAAAAAAAAATATTGTTATTAAATTTATAGTTTTAAATAAAACTTTTTGATTTCTTAATAAAACATAAATAATTAAAGAAACTTTAACATTAAAAATTTTTAATTTTCAAGTTTTAAAAAAAAGTTAAAAATATATTTAAATAGAGAGAGGGCTCAATTTACCAGTTGGGTTCAGACATTGTCTGGTTAAAAAATCAGATTGTCCGATCAATTTAAATGTAATCACACATTTTGACCAATGGAATTAATTTCTTAAGAATAAATACTTTATTATTGAAATAACTAAAGAATAAACAAATTCCTTATGAAAAAAAAAAAAAAAAAATTAGCTTCAAAATATAACTTAAAAAACTCAAAACTATAATTACTTTAAGATACGCTTTTAATTGCATTTGTAGTAGACTGTTAAACAGTATGTTTCACAAAACCTTCAAAATGTATATATGTTTCAATGTATTTTTTTATTATTTATAGTGTACCATGTAGAGTACCTAAATCATCTGCAGTCAATACATCTTGTACACCAAAACCTAGAAAATCTTTTATTAAGCTTACAAACAGGATGAAGCGTAAAAGAACAGATAGTCTTAGAGAATGAGAGGTGGAAGAACTGCAACATGCTGTTTAAAGGTTTAAATCTAATTCTTCTACTGATGGTAGGGCTATTTTATATGGTTCAAATTTGTCATTGCAAGCTCTTTGTAATTTGAAACTTACAGATAGAACATGGACTGAATTTAAAAATACAGTGACTCATAACCGTCATCTTGTTCCTCCAGGTTTAACCAAGTTAAAGCAATACAAAAAATTGACATATCCAGAACAGGTTGAATATTCTGAAACCGAAGTAAAATGTAGTCTTTTCCATATGATAAAGCATTCAGTTTCTAGAGTGTTTGAATATCTTTTGGATTATGAAAGTAACTGCATAATGAGTTTATCACAAGAAGAGCGTGATAATGTACAAATTATTTGCAAAGTATGAGGTGATGGTCAAAGTGATCAATCTGAGTTTCAAAATTCAGCAACTATGAAAAGAGGTGTAGATGATCGCTCTGTGTATAGTATAGTGTTTGTACTGCTGGAGATCCGAAGTGGAGTAAAAATAATATGGAAAAATTTAATTCCAAATAGTCCAGATGCAACCCGTCATCTTCTTTTTTGTTTTGCAAAAGAGACTGCTAGTTTTATTCAGGAAAAATTTGAACATTTGAAAAATGAAATTTTTTTATTGAAGAATATTGAATTTAAACTTGGTGAAAGTACTTTTGTAGTAAAGTCTAGTTTGTCAACTATTTATATCACAATGAATGATGGCAAAACACTAAATGCTGTTGTATCAAATATGCTTAAAAAAAGAATTTCATCTCAGTCCTGGCATGTATGCCTTGCAAATTCTAAGGAGTTTAACTTGAAAACTATTTGTAAAAAAAAATATTAATTTAAACAAGCATGTTTTGAAACTTGGAATTTGCAGTCTTCATCTATGGATGCGCTGTATGGAGTGGATTTTCAGTACTGCTTGTAAACTCCCAGCTGTTAAGCAAGGAAGAAATATTCCATCACAAAAGAGTAAAGAATTTATTGAAAACAAAAAAAAATTCCAGCATTTATTCAAGATACAACTGAATATAAGGGTTTCTTTTATCAGGAAAGGATGTGGAACAACCAATACTCGAAATGTTGCTCGCAAATTTTTTAATAACCCGATTGTGACAGGGAGAATTTTAAACTTGGATATCAGAATGATTAAGTTGTTTCAAGATTTACTCATTGATATAAAAAGAACAACTAAAAGACCGGATATAAAGGTTTTCAAACAGAAATCTGAACATCTATTTGCACTCATAACTAATGATAAATTTTTAAAAACCATACCTATGTCACAATCTGTGCATAGAGTGATAGTTCATGGTACTTCTTTTATAAGGTATTTTAAGTATCCAATAGGTTCTTTGTCTGAGAGTGCTATTGAAGCCAGAAATAAGGAAAACAAAACTGCTCGAATTGGTCATGCTCGTTTAACCTCATTTGCAGAAAACACTAGGGATACAGCTAATTATTTGTTTATGACATCTGATATGTACCTCTTTTGCAAAAAAAACAAAATGGATAAAAAAAGAGTGAAAACAAAATAGTTTAAGAAAGCAAAGTGACAGTTCTTCTGATAACTGCCTAAAATAAAGGTAAAATAGTTTTATTATTAATATTGTTAATAGTTTTGATTGATTTTTTTTTTGGTTAGGCAATCTCATAATTTTGGTTAATTAACAATTCAAAGTTGCGTTTTTTTTTTGTTTTTTTTTTATGTTTTTAAAAAAAAATTTAAGAAAAAATTTAATCAATTTTAACAAGCAATTAACTATTTTAGGAAGTAAGACCATGAAGAATCATACTGATGAGCTGTTCTGCGTTGAATTTTTAAAAAACGGCTTTTTTCATAGCCACAAGTTATTAAAAACATCTATTAGAATAGAATGTTGAGAAACTGTGAAAGAATGCAAAGAGCCAAGTATCATATGATAGCAGAGTTGTTTAATATATTCAATGATACTGTTTATTTTGAAATAGTGTTCATATACACAGTTTGTAAAATTCTATAAAATATAGGCGCCTACTTTTTTTGAATAAAATCATCCGGACTTGTGTAGTTTTCCGGACAAATATAGAATTAGTCCGGACTAACCGTAAAAAAATACAATAAATTGTTTTTTAATGAAAACCGAATATGATTCTTTTAAATATAGAAATATAAATAAAAATTTGATGTCTTGTGAAAAAATAATAAACATGATAAACTGCCTGCCCGAACCAAACCCTCAGTCAATGTAGCAGCACTCCCTTGCGAGTCAGGCTATTTGTCAGTCAATGTAGCAGCACTCCGTTGCAAGTCAGGCTGTAAGATAGTTGATGTAGCAACATTTACGAATGTTTTAAAATTGTTTTTTAATAAAACCAAAACAAAAAAACCACTAATTAAAAAAAACTTTCTAGTCGATTTTATTGCGGTTTTTTGAAAATTTTTAAAAAAAAAAATAAAAATTAATGTACTTCCGCATTAATTTAATTGCTTTGACATTTCCACGACAATCAAATACAGCTTAAGAGACGAGGTAATTAAAATTGTAGTCGAAAGAGACTTTTTTTACATTAAAAGACTCTTTTAACTACACTATAAGGATATATATATATATATATATATATGTATATATATATAAATATATATATATATATATATATATATATATATATATATATATATATATATATTTATATATATACATATATATATATATATATATATATATAAATGTATATATATACATATATATATATACATATATGTATATATATACATATATATATATATATATATATATATATATATATATATATATATATATATATATATATATATATATATATATATATATATATATATATATATATATATATGTATATATGTATATATATATATATATATATATATACATATATATATATATATATATATATATATATATATATATATATATATATATATATATATATATATATATATATATATATATATATATATATATGTATATATAAATGTATATATATATGGGGTAAACAGATTGTATCTGTTGGGTAAAGTTAAGGGGTAAACAGATTCTATCTGTTGCCCAGCTTCGCACCCCTTCTTCATCTATAAGGCTAGCGAAGATGTATTTTTAATACAATGTTTCCAATTTATGATGTTGAACGCTGGATCTTTTTGACTCGATGCATGGGTTTTGCTAGTGTCTCTGTTTTTATGACGAAGCAACTCATTCTATTATCTCTAAATGAGGGTACAGCTCTGAAACTCAGTTTTATGATTCTGAGGCCGGCTGGTAGTCAGGTTTCCCGAACCCTGTGGTAGCTCTCAGAGAGGCTGATCCCATTAACAGCTGAAAAATATCAAAGTACTAAGAGTGCCATGTTGCGCATGGATGGTGTCCATGTTTGTACTTTTGGTGTGCATTGTCAAGGCCACATTGGAGCCCTTTATTACGGCTTAGGGTTTATTAGTGGAAATGAGGCAATTGCTTGAGCTATAAAAAAGTGTGCTGAGTACTATCTATGTTTCGAGTCAAGTTCTTTAACAAATTTAAAAATGAATAAAGTAACAAAAACTATAAAACACAAAAAACCACAGTCTTCACCAAGTTCGCTAAACCTATCATTTACTAATATTTGTGGTCTTAACTCTCCCTCATCTTAAGATTGCACTCTTCTTGATGTTATTTCTGATCATATTGACCAAGCCCTCTCACTTTATCCATCAGCCAATATTGTTGTTGTCGGTGACTTCAATGTTCACTGAATGGCTTGGCTCTAGTGTCAGTGACTCTGCAGGCATAAAAGCCCACAACTTTTGCCTTTCTCAATCCCTAACTCAAACAGTCAACTTTCAAACTCGCTTTTCGTATCATTTACTTTCTCTACTCAACTTATGTCTTGTTTCTGATCCTAGTCAGTGCTCAGTTTCTCCACACTCACCCTTAGGTGCCTCCGATTATGGTTTGGTCTCTCTAAAACTAATATCTCATTCTTCTTTATCAACAGAATCCCCTTATCACCGTACATCTTACAATTACCTTAAAGCTGACTGGGACTCTTTCCAAGATTTGCTTTGTGATGGCCCCTGGGTAGAAATCTATCAACTTCCTATTGACAAATGTGCTTTTTACATAACTTC